TCGTGACAGACACAGTGATGAATATGTGTTTGCAGTACACAAGCCACGGTTAAGACAGCTGACTCCACTGTGATGTGACCTCCCGCCCCTCTCTCTCTCTCGCTCACTCTCGCGCTCTCTCTCTCTCGCTCTCTTTCTCGCTCGCACACACACGATGCGCAAAACTCCACATTTGAACAGTCAATAGCAAATACTTAAACTAATAACAAAACAGTAGCTGATTCAGAAGCGCCAGATTGTCATAGCAAAGTCAGAATTACCTCCTCTCCTAGGTTCACGAAACGGTCGTCCATAAAATGCATTGCTGTTCTGTTGCAAGTCATCTTAAAGATTACTAAATGCATCTACTTTTGGAAGGCCAAATAAAGTGCTTTCGCTTTGGCCTAGAAACACACAGCGTCTCCCTGACATGGCTGCTTCAACACTAACTGCGGTTACTGAAACCACGCCTTCTTTCTTTGCGTGCACATTTGGGCGGCATTTTGCAAATATTTCCACACAGTGAGGTAGATATGTGGGGGTGTGTTAGAATGAGCCGTTTTAGGGGGGGTGGCAGAGTCTTAACTTTGATAAAGAATATCTCTTTGGTTTTGAGACTTTAGTCTTTGCAACTTCAGGGATCTTATCTATGCACAATCAGCTTGTAACACTCCAATGAGAAAGGAAAACTTGAAATTGCATCATATGACCCCTTTAAATAAAAAAAAATGCTATACTTCTATTTTATTGAATTTATTGAATTTAGAGTAGAATACCATAAAAATGAAAGAAAATGACTATCAATTAGCAACACGTGACATGCTATGTGGTATATTGATGATGGTTACTGATGGAACATTGGTTAGACTGTAGACCTGAAATGAAGTTTCAGGGAAGAGAAAATCTCCTTCTGTAACATGACAAATTCATCCAACAATTGGGAACTCTCCTCTCCCGTTTCATTCGAAGTCACACCGAACATTTCAACCTGCATGAATGTAAACATAGTAAACATCCTAAAAAGGTAACACACAATGTTCATTGTACTATATTTACATTGATCTTGACATGGACAGTGAATCACAACACAAATGTTGTATTTTTCTTTCACGTTCTTTATTTTCAATGCTACCATTTGTTTTCTGATTACCTTGTTAAAATGATGAACTCTATAGAGACCCCAGGGCTCTCTGCCAGTATCTGTTTCTGCTCGATAGCATGTGCTACTACAGACTGTCCTAGAACATAAAATAAATAGTTTATCTTATGAATAATAGGCTTATTTTATACATGGAGCAGTTAATGAACAACTTAATGTAGTATTCAGGCAGGCATATTTTTACCTGACAGGTAAATCCTTCAAATTTACAGCATGATCCATGAAATAGCCTGGAAAGTAAAATAAAGGAAAATTTGTTTTTGCTCATAATTCTAGCTCATAATTTGATTGTGACAGGGTTTCTGCAGGTATCATCAAATATAATTTAATGCTTTTTAATGACATTTAAATAATTTTTAATGCCATAAATATATATATATATATATATATATATATATATATATATATGGATTATATATATATATATATATATATATATATATATATATATATCAGATTATATGGGAATGCATAATCTGAGCAAAGAAGAT